TCTCCCTCAAGTTCATTTTTGAGTCCTATAAGTAGACCAGGAAAGTATCCTGGATACCAGCCTTATCATACATAAGAAATTGGTTTAAATCTTAGGTAAATGAGGAAATTAAAAATGGACTGATTCTAAAAAATCTCTGGTTTGTAACTATGCTTGGGCTGCTACGTGTACCTGGGCCGCTACGTGTACTTGAGGCACTACGTATACTTGGGCTGCTATGTGTACTTGGGCTGCTATGTGTACTTGGGCCGCTACTTGTACTTGGGCCGCTATATGTACTTGGGCCGCTACGTGTACTTGGGCCGCTATGTGTACATGGGCAGCTATGTGTACTTGGGCCACTACATGCACCTGGGCCACTATGTGCACTTAGGTCGTTACTTAAATTGTGACCTATCTGTTTGACATGGGTTTGACGTGTGTGTAGCAGGGTTTGGGGGTTTGTACTGGGTTTATCATATCATGGTGTGTGAGAAATTCCTCATTTCCTACCGTTAATTAGTATATATGCTAGGGTTTGTTTATAAGATCTATTATTAACCGAATTATCTTACTTCTAGAATCCGATTCTCTATCTTTAGCCAAAGAATAAGTATTACCAGTAGTCTAAATTGGAGGTTCTGCCGCGGATCTTAACAGTTCTCATCAGCATCAGTTATTGTTTGTCTCACATTATATGTGCCGCCAGTGACCACATCTGTGTTAAAATCTCGAAATCTCGGTATTCTTGACTAGATTCAAAAGACTGAAATTTTGGCAGTTATCATTGCCGTTTTGCCACTTATATCAGCCATTCAACCGTACTGATTGTCAACTTACCTGCTTCAACGTTCAAGTATTTCTACCATCTTACTTTAAATCTGTTTCTCTATCCCTTGGTTTGTATGAATGTTGTTTGAATTTCGTTTTGTTTATTTCTTTTTGCTCTATTAAATTCATTGATTCAATCTGTTGAGAAGTTGGACTTAGTTTAAGTGTAACAATTAAAATTAATTCTAATTCAAATCAATAAATCAAATCAAGCTATTCAAATTTTTAGTAGCCTTTGCTCAAACAGGGCATTTCATTATGACGTCACTTGCAAAGATCACTGTTTAAATCTTAGTCTTGAGTCTTTATCTCAAATTTCTCAAGCATCAAAACCTTCTACTGTTCTAGCTATTTTTCTCGTCCAACTTCCCACCCCTTAAACTGATTGCCGCTATTTTCCTGCATTATTCTACCTTCAAAAAGTGATCACCACACTGGGCATTTAAACCTCAGGTTTGTTGTGGTTTTTCTGTGCAAATAAATTGACATTTTTATGATTTATTTTGGCTATAATTTGCTACCTCGTAATTTTGCAAGATTTACAATTATAATTTATTTCTTCTACAGTATACATTAACCCGATCCTGAAACTGGCCAGCCTTACGTGATATCTACGTCACGCATTCGTCATGTGCTCTGTCAACCATCAATCTTCAACTTCTCTTATACCGCATTCTGAACTTTTGGATTCGGCTCCTATCAACTAAATATTTTCGCCATTATTATGAAGCTATATCATTCGAACTCAAACTCAAGATTTTGTTTGATAAATTAAAAATAAAAGCTTCCTTGATTATTTCTTTAATTAACTACCTGTCGATTGTGTGAATACCTCACAAGTGATGTTGGCTGGACTAGTCCCATTAAGTTACTCCTGGCACAGTAAATCAAGTTACAGTTCTACTCAACTATGTTGACAACAGGCCAAGGTGCAGAAGGTGGAAGCAGCGTTGCCAATATATGGGTTTTCAAGCCCAAAGCGTTGCCAAGCATTTTCAAGATGCATTGCCAGGTAATTTTTAATGAAAAGCCATTTATGCTGACTGCTGAGTAATGAAAAACTATTTACAAGCACGAACTTATTTACAAGGTTGTGCACGTGTTACCCCAAATAACTAATTTTACCCTAAAAACAGTCCAATTGTACAGCAAGTGTCAACTGAACATGTGATGATGCAGTCTGACTGCTCTAATGTGACCGCAACTACATTTTGTTTATTTTTTTTTGGTGGGAACTCATCGCAACCAATTTCCAGACAAGCTTTACTGCATCCTGATCCATCCAACGTACCAGAAACCTTACTTTTTTCTAAATAGTTGGCCGAAGACTGACAAATATATTAAATGCAAGAATTTCAATCTAAATGTGTCGGCAAGATCTTCTGAAGGCATAAATTTTGCTACTGAAGCGTCGCCAAAGATCTTGCAGTATTCATCCACTTTCTGCACAGTGGTCAGCATCCATGGATGGCAGTCGAGTCGCGATGGTCTTTGTAGCATAATGGAAAATTACAAATTATCGTATTATATATTTTGAAGGCTGCAAAGCTCGTAGGTTCTGATAGAATATATGGCGAAAATTTATTATAGTTTAGAGCTTAGTCCATATGTTGTTATTATCAGCAGTACTGCCGTAGGCCAGTATCAGCAGGTGTTTCAACAGGAGACGTAGGTCTCTCGAACGTCGATGTCTAAAAAATATTAATTAAGTAAGAGAAATTAACAGAATTTTCACCAATTCTAGATTTCTGTTACTAATTCAAAAATTTCCAGGGAAATGAGAGTACATCAACAGCAAGGGTATAAAGCAAGGTTTTTATTTATAGTTCCCAATATAGTTCCAGCGCAAGCTCGGTCATCCACGGCTGTAGAAAACTGAAGGCATTATCCTGCCTTTACCAAGTAATTGTTCTTGGTTCAGTAGATTATTTAAGCATTTCTGACGGGACTTCCAATTTAACAACTCTAAAGAAATATCATTATTAACTAAAGCCATAAATTATCGTTGATCAGTCAAGCACGCAAAGCAGTTTGGCCTTATGTGTAATGGCGATGGTCTTAATCTATGCGTAGAAAGATACTACCGTTAGGACGCTAAAAACTTTGTGCCAAATTCCTGGCCGGTGTTAATATCTGATTGGTCTGCGCTGGTGTTGCCGGGTGGTTGTGACGTCACGTTTGTTTGGTCGTGAGATGGCTTTGTGCTGCGCTCTGATTGGTGCGGGGAACGCCGGTAGCCTACGTGGCGTGGGCTGGCTGTAACGTGACGCAAGTTGGCGGCAATGCAGTTGGGGACAGGAGTCAAGCGTGAACCATGATAGGGTGAGAATCTTGCGAGCGTGTGCTATTAACAATTGGTAGCAGAGCGTGCGCAATGGCTTCAGCGAGAGCCGTTACTACTAAAATTCCTCCTGTGTTTAAAGAAGATGGTGATTATGATCAGTGGAAAAAGGATGTGGAGCTGTGGACTATTTTGACGGATTTAGACAAGAGTAAACACTTAGCATAAATAAGCGGCGATTAACTAATTATAATATATCTAAAATATAATCTTAACACGTTAAGTGCGGGAGCTGAAACTGCTGACTGCTCGCTGGTAGAACGCCCTGCACCACAGTCCACAGAGCTATCAGTACACTGCTACCTCTCCAGCCTGTCCGTTCTTCTAAAGTAAAGGCTATTCCCTTGCTTGTCCATTCTTCTGGAGGCTATTTCCGTCCTTTCCTAATTGCCTTTCCATTCTTCTGGAGGAGGCTATACCCCTGCCTGTCCATCCTTCAGTGACTTAACTAGTAGCGGAGTCGGCAGGAGTAGAGCCTGGAGTACCACGCAGGGTTGTGGGCGTTGAACTCGCCCCTAATATGTTATGGGCATCCAGGTGTTATGGGCATCCAGCTCAAGCAGAGGGGCCAAGGAGCCTAGGAGGGTGAGAAGCCAGGGGGGCAGGAAGTGGGTGGTGGCCGGTGGGATGTAGATGTTATAGAGGTGGAATTGTGTGCCATCGATAGAGATGGAGATGGCCTGGGCCCTGGTGTTCTGTTGTGGAATCACCAGGGAACAGGTGGTCAGAGGGGATTGGGGAGTATGAGACGGTGTGATTCACAATGAAACAGAGACTGCCACTGCCGGCGCGAGGACCTTTGGGTCTGTCACGGCAGACCAGGGTGCAACCTGGGAAAGTGGGGGAGTTTGAGGCCTTGGTTAGTTTGCTTTCTTGAATGGTGTTGCCAGTAATGCCGAGGTACTGTCTCCCACCACGGGCGAGGCAAACTCGTCACCTAATTTTGAAGTTTCTTTGGCAAGAACCCAGTATGAATTGGAAAATGAAAGAGTAACTCTAATTGAAGTAATTGTTTAAAACAGGATTTTACATTACGAATCTTTTATTACAAACAAGGGCATAAGACAATAAAGACCCTGAGGTAAAAAAGTTCAGGCTAACAATAAAGAATAAAGCAAGGGCATGAGTGCCCATTACTTGCAAGAACCGGTGTAAAGACAGTGGGTAATGAGATACCCTGAGGCCTGAGCAAGAGGTGAGCAGGGTATGTGAAGTAAAAACAAATTTGGAGGAATTCAGTTAAAATATGGGTTACTGTTACGGAGCATGGGCAGGCAAGGAGTTGCTGAACAATAACTGAAAGGAAAAAGGAAAACGTTTGTCAGCAAACAGCCTACTCAAGAGTCGAGCCTATTACTGTAAGAAAGTTGTTAAGATAAAACAGTTGCCAAGCAAGTGGACAGCTGCAGCTTAAGGTAAAAGTGCACCGCAAACCACCAACCAGGCCAAACATAAACCAATTCTTCCCTCAAGCTCCAAGGAGTTGTGGGAAGCAAAAGGATAGACTAAATAAGAATTATAACACTCATGAACATAACTTCAAAATCATCAGGCCAATTAAATGGTAAACAATTAAATGCTAAATGAATGCAGAATAAAAATCACAAATTGTAGACAAAACTGAATTGGCTATGTATCTACAACATTGAGTTAATTTTTAGAGAATCCATATTAAAATTAATTGAGAATAATAAGTAATTCTAATTAAGACATTTTAGCAATTAAATAGTTACTGGACAGGTTTCCAAGCGCATTAACCAAAGAATATTGCATACATCCCTACTAATACTCACTCTTCATAGTGATGCAGGAAAACCTGTCAGTTCTGGCAGCATACTCCTTGTTGAAGTTGAACAAGGAGTTCACTTGGAGAATTGATGATTATAATAATGGAATTTACTTTAGCATATTGTCACCACTTAGTGCAGCTGAAACAAATAGAACAAAAGACAAAAGTGAATGCATGTAAAAATAAATAGGTGACAAAAATTACTATGCAATAAAAGGCATGAGGGTTGTGTTGAAATGGGGGAGGAGGGAGTCCCAATGCACCCGGGGCAGGTCCAGGTGCCGTTGTACTGGGATGCATGGCGGAGCCCGGAGCACCGTTTATGAACCCAGAGATTGCAGCATTTGCATTGGAAGGAGACTCCCCGCCAGGTGACTGGGTGCCCGCAGATGCCACAAGGGTCAGGGCTGCCAGGGCCGGAGTGAAGGTGGATACCTGCGATCAGGAGAAGAAGGGCAACGGTGACTTGGTGGGCGAGCTGCGGCCGAGGACAGGAAAGGAGAAGGGGAGAAGGGACGCCCCGCGCAGAGGCGCCGCCAGGCTGAAAAAATGGCTCGCAGCAGGTCCGGGAGTTGTGTCCGTGTTTGGCCCCCCCGGGACGACAGGTCGTACTGGAGGGGTCCATCCACCACGAAGAGACCCGGACGTCAGATGGGATGTTCAATATCTATGTATGATAATGTTCGCAATAATTGGTATCTATGAAGGGATGAACAATGATACTTAGCTGGTCTACTCAGGACTGAGAACCTTAGCATGAAGGAAAATGTTGCTCATTTGATGTTGCATTCTGAGACTGTAGAGATCAAACTGTTTTTGAACTGTTGTATGTATCGTGAATAAAAAAGATATGTTTCACTGCCTGCAAACAGATTTGGAAAATTCTTACTTATTAATGAAATCTTGTGGCTCCCAATCATAATGGCAAAGCAGAAACTTTTTTTATGCTCTTATGCTCCTCTTTCTACTATTTTTTTAGTTCTGTGAGACTAAGAGTAGACCATTAATCATAGATCATACTAGTATTATCATACATAGAAATTGAATAAAATAATGAACTAGATCAAGAAATTATTATTGAACTAGTTTTAAAGAATCTCTCACTTGCCACAATGCTCCAAATTGAAGTATTTTCAATAAATTTGTAGCCTTGCAGCTCCACCTTACACCTTTGTTCTCTTTTATATAAAAGATATTTTATTTAACTAGAATCTTGCAGCTCCAAAAATGGCAGGAAAACTCTATTTGTGGCTCATCATTTATTGACAATTAAACTTGCTGCATTCATTCTCATTTTCTTATAGATTTTATGAAAATTCGTATGCTCTCTCCAAAATCATTGCAACACATGTTTTAAAAAATGCATACGTTAAAGTTACTGAATACTAAGGATATTTGATTATCCAATATTTGATCTGTTATTATCAAATAACAGTCAGAAATTTGATGTAATTGTACAGGTGGGCCTTATTATTCTTATTATTGACCTTTATATTCATACTGATTACTTTATGCTGTTATTTCACAAAGCTGCTTGTATTTTAAAATAAAATGTTGACTCTTTTAACAGCCTTGCCTTAACCAAGTTACAGGTGATAATGAATAAAATGCAACCCAATGAATTTCAGTCAAACTTTTTGCATTCTCATGATCAAGCAGTGCCAAGGCCACCACATGAGCAACTTGAAGAGCAAAGATTCCAGCTGAAGAAAATTCTTGAAGAGCATCGTCAAAGAGAAGCTAATGAAGAAGATGGAATTTTTTCATGCTTTAATGGAAATTTAATAACTCCTTGTCAAATTGTCATCTCTCTAGAAACTCACAACTCTAAACTTGAAGCACCTACTGAAGAAAATTCCCTTGGTCCTTCTTTTGAAACACTAGTGCCAGTACAACTGTCTAATGTCAATGCAGAATCAGATCAGTGTAATGAACGGGTTGAGCCAGCAATATCCTGCTTCTCCCCAAAAAGTTGTACTCCCTCTCTGTTTCAACAGACACAATTTGTTTCTTCCAATATACAGCAGGCTAATTTATGCTACAATAGTGAATATGTGGCTCCAACAACATCAAATGCTCCTTGTTACATTCTTCCTGGTCCTTGTGGAGCTTCAGTCAATAATGCTGCTGCAGAGTCAAATAAACTTTCAATCACTTTGTATCAAAGTCACATAGATGAAGATTCATCTGCATTGAATGTTGATCTCCCCAGCTTGAACTACAATCATTATGACAACAAACTTTATAGTCATGCAATTCCAGGAGATTGTTCCAAACATCCATGTACGGGCAATTTGGTTAACACTAATGATGCAAAAGTAATCCAAACTCAAACTGTTACTCAATCAGCTAACCTCTCTGTCAAAGCCTCAGACTTTGTTGCATCTGGAAACTTGAATGATACAGAAAGGTTTTCTGCTGAATCTACTTCTTTTTATATTCCTCCTAATCAATGTGAAGAAGCAGTGTTAACTGCTGACTCGGCTACAACCGGTGGAGTTGATGTCCAGCAGCCTGCATCAGATGAAGAGCCTTACTCCAGTTTTGTTTCTAGTTCAACATCTCAAAACTTTGACAAACCTGTTCAAAGCTTCAATGAGAAAACAAAAGAAGAAAATGTAATTCTTATCGGGCCAGATTCTCTTGCTATTCCTATGAAGCATTCTAAGAGAAAAAAAGTGAAATCTGGAATTAAAAATATGCTGGTGAAGAAACAGCTGATGTTGAACTGTGAGTGGGCTGACTGTACAAGTACATTCTATGTCAGCAAAGAATTTCATGAACACATAGATTTTCACTTGAACAATTTAGGTGAGTATTCTCATTTACACATCAACGTAAAACTATTTTACCACGTTTTTCTTAGCTTCATTTCATGTCTGTCTGTCTGTCATCAAAAATTCAGACCTTAATTTAGAGCTCTTCTGAACATCCTAGAAATTTGAAATTTGGCATGCATGCTTATGCTGCCTAACAATTCAAGATTTGATCATCAGAAGTAATAATGTAAAAAAAAATTTTTTGAAAAAAAAAAATTAAAATTTCATGGTTGGGAATCAAGTTTTTTTTGTGGAACATCCAGACTTGCCAACCCTAGAAATTGATTTGAATTGCAAAAATTGCTAAACTAAAAAGTAGAAAATGAATAAATATAAAAACCATGTTTAAAAACCATGTTTTTCTGGTTTTTACAAAACTGAAAACGATGAAATGAAAAAAATAAAAAAAAAAAAAACACTTTTTCTTAACGGACAAAAAAGAAAAACATTTACCCTTACATAACATTACATAACATTTTACATAATTTTAATGTTATATACCGTCATATACCATCATAATGTTATATACCGTCATAATGTTATATACCGTCATCATATATACCGGCTACTCGGGATGGGCGGGGTAACTCAGGACAGTCCTCTGACACGGTGTAAAACTGTTTTAGTAGAAAAACTAATTGGAATATTGCAAAACTAAATATAGTGGTGTAAATGTCAACATTTTTCCTTTCTATGTAGTATAAAGGAAGTTCAAAAATACTACATTTACTAGCTTTGCAAAATTCTTGAAAAAAATGGTGAAAACAATATTTCGAAAAGTTACTTCTGCTAAGGTCTGTAGTAAAAAAAATATTTGCCGTATTAAAAAATTTCACCTAGAAACAAAGTGACAGTCAAGTGTCAGCATGAAAACTTTATTTGCGGAATTTACATACCTCAGTAAAAAAAAAATGGCAGCCATTTCTGCACGGAGGGGCTACTCGGGACACCTCCCCAGGGCTATTCGGGACAACCCCAAAAACGCATTTACAGTAGAACCTCAGTTAGCAAAGGCTCCAGTTAAGAAAAAAATTGATTAAAAACAAAGAATATTGATTACATTTACCTTGCTTGGCGAGGTAAAATAGTGCATTGTAGGTCATCACAAAATTGTGCATAGAATGTCAATTGTCATATATAGAATTGTGTCTTAACCCAATTATAATGGTGTGAAATTACAAGCCGTCCTATAAGCTTACAGATACAGAAAAAATGCTATAAGGATGCTGGTATGAAGCTTGCAGTGGACAAGGTAGTTGAAATGCTCAATGGCCTGTTCATGGATACGGTAATATTGCATCAATAATATCGTAATTAATGTATATGGTAATATCATACCAATAACAGAAAAACAAGTAAAAATCACAGAAAATGTCATTTATTCTACCTCTACATCATCTACAATGAAAGAGGAGGACTTCAGAGTCCGGTTAGTAATGGATGAGTACACTCTGCATGCTTCAAATGTTTTAAAATTGAGTTTTATTCCAAGTGTCACGAGTAACCCTGTTCGATGGGGCTACTCGGGACACTCTTTTTTTTGCTTCTGGCACCTTACAAATAGCATATAGAATTTTTTTGGAGAAGCCATGTGATAGCCCTTCAAAGAGCTTTGAAATGAGCCTAAAGTTTATGAAATGTTTCATGGTAAGACGTTATGAATGAAAAACTTTCGAAATCGTCCCGAGTAGCCCCGGTTGATGGTAAGAGTAAATGCTTTTCTTTTTTGTCCGTTAAGAAAACATAGTTTTAAAAAATTTTTTATTTGTTTTATTTATTGTAAGTTTTATCATAGAGCAAGTTTTTTTTATAATCTGTACTGCCTACAGTGCCTACATCTCAGGCTACTATATGGTACTTGTGACATGTTTTGGTACCTTCATAAATATTTATTTTTATTTTCAGATGAAGATGAAGAAATGGTGGAGTACCTGTGCCCTTGGCTTCTATGTGGCAGCACATGGCATAATTGTGAAAGTTTAATCCGACACATATTATTCCATGCTTTCCACACTCAGCTGAAGGCTCAAGGATTGCAGATAAGGGAGTTGGAATCCTTGCCTGTTAGTGTACAAAATAAAGGAAACAAAAAATATATATATTTCATTTTATTCTGGTGTAGGTCCACCTATTGTGGCAATAACAGCCTCAGTTCTTGAGGGTATTTCATGTAAATATAAATTCTTTCCTGAAGAATTTCAACTCAATTCACTTCTCTCTGTTGAATCTTTTTTTGACTTTCTCTTAACCCTGTCCATAAATATCATAACTTCATTTGGCCTGAAATCTAAAATAAGGTAAATGGTGATTCGTGAAAGAAAAGCACATTTTCACTGCTCTAGTGAATAATTCTGGAGGTTTTTACACCACTTGGGTGTAAAACTGGGTTTATTAGGTGTTAATTGGGGTTTAACTTTACCATAATTTTTAAAATTTTAATGGGCAGGTCTTTTTATTATTCTTACTAATTTGTTTTAGAGACCAACGCACACAATTTCAACTTTTGGCCAGACCTGGGCTTTGTTGAGGAAGGGTTTCCTTTCTCTTTCAAAAGTAGTCATTACTTTTGAGACAGTGCCTCTTAATGCATCAATCATTTGGATTATTTCTGTCACACTACGCAGCACCTGCCAAGGCTGCCATACCAGACCAAAAATTTGGCCTCTGAAACTTGGAGAGGCTTGCCATTTTCATTAGGTTTTAGCTGCAAAAATTTTATAGAAAAATCTGTAATTGCATAAAATATCAATTAGCAGCAATAATGCATTACCAATGAAACAATAAATATTAAATATGTCAAGTTTTTATTGTTTAAAACATATTCAAAAATTATGATCTCAATGTTTGGCATTTCCCTTATTTTATTCAAGCCCTGTATATTTATAAATTTAGAATGTTCACCATCAAAAATTATTTAGTATTGTGTAGCTACTCACTGATATTTATCAATGCCATTATAATAAAATCTGATGATTTGTTATAATCTTATTTCAAACTAGGCTTGGAAATTTTTCTAACTGAAGATTATCTCTATATTTTGTTCAGAACTGCTTCTTGGATGCGGAGAGACGTAATTTGGTTCCTCAAATTCCTTGTATGTTTGAATGCCGCTTCAATGACTGCAAGGAGCTTTTTCAATCAGCTCAGAAGTTCTACCTACATACTGCGTTCCATTTTAATAGTGCTTTATGCATTAATAAGGACGGCAAAAGTTATTTCAAATGTGAATGGAGAGGTAGGTACTTACCTGAAACTATCCAGGAATAAATCTATTATCTAAGTAGTAACTCTTATTGACATATCTACTTGATCATATTTATACTACAATTGTATAGCCAATTATCTCTACACTTGATGATGAAAAATATTTATGATTTGTTGTGATGAGTTCTTCTGGTTCTTTTTATTTTTGTTGTGAAATTGATTTTCCATGAATACATTTTATAATATCTTGATAATGGACAGTTATTTCTTGAATTGGATACCTACCAGAGCATATTCTGATATATATAATGAGGACAATGAAAATGGGAAGAAGGTCCTGCACATTTCAGCTTGAGTTCTTTTTACTTAGCTACTTTATGGAAAGAGAGCTTATACTTTTTTTTGGAGCATCACGCACATTGAAGTAATTTTAATATTTAGCATTCTTGCATATTAAGCTTTTTTTCATGATAAACTTTAATAAGTAGTATTACTGCCAGTGGTACTATCTACTTCTAGATATAAAAGTTGTAGAGTATGAATATAGCATAAGGTATGCATGATGGTTGCAGGCATGGGGACCTATGTACTTTTATGTGTGAAGTGGGGCAGACAAACATAAAGATTGGTAATGGTGATTCTGAATAAAGTGGATGAGATGAATGGCAGAGTAAAGGAGGACAGGTGAGGAATTTATGACCGTGATTGTATGTTTCTCAGAGAGGGCTACTGTGTCTGTGGCTGAGAATGTTAACAGATATTTGGAGAGAAGATGGATGCTGAGATAGAGGAAGAGGATGGCAAGAACTGTCTTGATGATTGGTGAAGAAAAAGCAATTAAATTTAATTGATACATCAAAGACCAATAACCAGAGAAATATCTATCCTTAAAGCTACTTTTTCAGGATGCAAGCAATTTTTGTTTGTTTGGGTAGGTTACCATTAGTAATATGCTCTTAATATGTCTGAAACAAATCATTTTTTTGTATGTAATTTATTGTAGCCATTGGACAGAGGTACTGACTGTAATTAGGTATTGAAGACTTGGCTTTCAGCTGCACGACAGAGCACAGCTAACATCTGACTAGGACACCTCAATGCCTCAATTCCAATTCTAGCCTTATGAAGAGGTGTCCTGTCTTCCAACAGATTGCAATGTGCTTCATTCTCGCTTATCCAAATTGAAGGAACATAGCCTGAGCCACACACAAGAAAAGGTTGTTGCCTGTCCAAATTGCGGCTCCATGTTTTCTTGCAAGGCACGGTTTCATGATCACCTACTGAAACAAATCTCCCATCAAGGTAAATTCACTCATTTCATGAATTATTTATATATACTTTCAATCAAAACCCATACTATATATACTACGTATATAACCTATACTGTTTGGTAACGTAACCTAGACTGCTGATTTAACTAACAATAGCGTAGTCTTTACTGCTTCATATCATAACCTATACTGTACTGTATATACTATATAACCTACCTACTATACTGTTTGGTAACATAAACTAGACTGCTGATTTAACTAACAATAGCGTAGTCGTGACTGCTTCTTTTTTTATACAAATCAACATTACAGATACTTTTCTTACATTCAGAATTATATTTGTTATTTTACTACGAGTAGGTATATTTATTCTGATTGTATAATGCAATTTGTGAAATTGAGATATTTTTATTTGCAGACATGCGGTACCAGTGCTCGTGCTGTGGCAGGAAATATCCGACGGAGCGACTGCTGCGTGACCACGTCCGTCAACACATCAACCACTACAAGTGTCCTCACTGCGAGATGACGTGCGCCTCACAAAGCAACCTCGACACGCACATTCTCTACAGACACTCATCTCGCAAGCCACATCCATGTGCCCACTGCAATAAAGCGTGAGATATTATAGATGCATGCGTACCTGATGCAGTCTAGCAAACCTGCAAATTGGGTTAACTAAATACACAATAAAGCGCGAGATATTGTAGACAATTGCTACGTAAAGCGCGAGATATTGTAGACAATTGCTACGTAAAGCGCGAGATATTGTAGACAATTGCTACGTGAATTTGGCTCAGTCTTTTTAGTACTTGCAATTCAGCTTGCCGCTTTGCTTGCCCAGTTCTTTATTATTTCAATATGACGCGCATAACCAGCTGATGTAATTGATACTGTTTACTGTAATAAACATGCCATGTTAAATTTCCTACCTAATCCACTTTTACTAATAAATTCTCGTGCTGCAGATAGTTTTGAGAATGATGTGCTTATTTTATTTTTGTCCATGGTTTGTAGATTGTTGATTGTTTTTTTGTTTCTGGTGCCCTCTTTTGATAGATAGAACTAAAACTTGCTCTTATTCAATTGAATAATTCCTTCTTGATGAATAAATTCTTGCAAAAATTTTAATACAGACAGCCATTTGTAAATGAAAAAAATTGGGATTGCTATTCATTTGATTGTATTCACCGTGTGTTTTATTAATCACAATTTCAGATTCAAGCAACTTGAAGATCTGGAGCGTCATCTCATTTCGCACACTGAAAACAAGCTTTTTAAATGTGACTATCCTGACTGCGATTACTGTTGCAAGTGCTCTGCCACCCTCGATCTGCACATCAAAAAAGCAAGTTGAAAGTTCACTATTGTTTTGAATTGCAAAATAGGTTCAGGGAACGCGGCCGTCAATGATTCTTAATGCTAATTATAAGCGTGAAGCACTGAAACTGAACTGCTTTTCGCTTTAATATCTTGTAAATTTTCTGCCTGTATTTGTATTGACGTCAAATCTTTAAGTGACAGAGAGTAATGGCGAGGTTAAAAAAGACAATTTAAACCAAGGTTGACAACATTTGTTGTAGGATAACATTATTTTTGTAACGTTTAATTATGTAACCTGTTGAAAACTTTAGGAATCACAGCTTATCATCAGGAGTGCACAACACGACATTACATGATTAGAGAAGTGCGTTAAATTAATGAATATTTGTTTATTCACCTTATCCCGTGTTGAGCAGAAACACCTGCAAATCAAGGTGGTTTATGCCTGTCATCTTTGCCCGTGCGAACGTACGCGTGGCAGTGCCTTGTCTCAACACCTCATGAAAGTCCACAGCCTCTCTTGGCCCACTGGACATTCGAAATTTTTGTAAGTGTTTAGAATTATTCAGTCTATCTTCTCAAGTCCCGCAGAAGATTCTAAATATTTGCGAGTCTTAAGGATTATCCAGTCAATAGGCTCTACTGGCCCACATGACATTTCAAATTTTTCTGAAGTTTTTAAGGCCTTAGCTATATTATATTCATTATTGTTCATTTGATTATGATATTTCACCTCTGTGTAATTTCAGTTGATGAATTTAGAAAAATTCAATTGAAATTTCGGTTGAATTTCTAATACAGCATTTTTTGAATACATGAAAATCTCGACACCTTTGATTTGTACAAAATAATGATTATTTAAACCGCAAAAGCTAAATCATGTTCTATTGTAACTCATTTTCTTTGAAAACCCACAGTTATCGGTGTGACAGCGAAGGAAAGTTTCGTCTCCAAACTGTCCGTTTTGAAAGTCTAGAATTAGAGGAAGGAATGGACAGGTATGTAGAGCTAGAGGAAGGAACGGATAGGAATGCTGCTGACAGGGCGAGTTCTAACGAACCTTATCTGCCTAACCAAAGTCCACACGACCATAATGAAAGTCAGATGGCCGAATCCAGCAGCAAGAAGAGCCCTGCTAAAGCAAATCCAAATAAGAAATGGTCTACTAAGATGAAGCCTGCGAGAACTTCGAATAAAACTAAGCCTAAAAAGAGAAAATGTGAAGTAACTAAAAGTAAAGTTAAGGATGAAGGAGCAAAAAACGTTTCCAAAAGTAAAAGTTCATCAAGTTTGATTAAAAAACTACGTCAAAGTAGAATTAGTCCGAAGGCAAGAGCTGCAAGTAAGGTTGAGAAAGCTTCATCACTTAAAGTTGCAGATACTCGTCGAACTAACGCGAAGTCAAGCCCTAGCAACACGACTACAAATCGTTGCAGGAAGAGAAAGGCTGACGAAGATCCAAACTCAGTAATGAGGGTTAAAAAATCTCGCAAAAAAGGTCTAAGGGGGAGCATTTCCATCGACAGTCCACCTCATGCTTCCATGTAATCTTCGATCGACTAGACTTATTGTGAAGAACAATGTATCGATCTTTGCTGTAATAGGGGCTGCTTAACCCTCTACCGCCTTATGCCTCTCTCCGGGAACATACATGTAACTTTCAATTTGAATTATACGTAAACTATTGAGTATAGTATTCTGAGAACATTTGTACGCAAAAAAAAAAATACTTTAAAGTTGTACGTGGCGGCAACCATCAGTGCAAGTCATTTTGCGCTCACTAGAACGTATCCTTTTTGGGAAGTAGGCTTGTGACAATATTGCTCCGGTTACTCATATCAGGCGGTGGAGGGTTAAGAATAATAAAATTAAGGCAAAACCTATGATATTCGTTTGTTTGCTTCTGATTTTATTGCCTCCGCTCCTTATGTTTTTTTTTTAAATAAAAGTTTGCCATCTACTCTTCACTTAAGATATTTAATTACTCTAACTTAAGATTTCTTTTATTGCTGTTACGTTACTATGGGCACTGATTTGGCCAGTTGCTATATATTTACGGCTCGCATAGCTTTTAGTAGTTAATTTTATAGACTACGACGTTCTCAAGCTTGCTTGCCGACGGAAATGAATTTGAAGTTGGGCATTGCTGGAATTTTTTGGACGGGATGATTCTCATTGTATTATACAAAAAAACGTTTATTTTCAACGCTCTATCTTTGGACACTTAAACCTTCGTCGATGCAATTTATATCTAGTGATCTCACTGATCTGGTTACGAGAATTACCGTCGGTAGACAAATGGATAATTCACAGAAATCAGTTCAGATGGAGGAATCCTTTTGCAGAATACTGTTTATGCTAGCGCATTACTTACATTTCTTGACCGAATTGACTAGTGTCTTCAGTGCCAAGGTTGTCATTCTGCAGCGATTGTGTCCAAGGCTTAATTTCATATCACGCCTCATGACCGCTCCGATCTCTTAGAGGCCAATGTGAACTATAACCCTATGCAGGAATAGTTTTTACATAAATCATATTAATTGTCTCCGGGATAAGGTTAATATGTTTAAAGATCGCATGCGGAGTTCACTTAAAGTTGCAGATACTCGTCGAACTAACGCAAAGTCAAGCCCTAGCAATGCGAGTACGAAGCGTTGCAGGAAGCGAAAGGCAGACGAAGATCCAAAACCAGTAAAGAGGGTTAAAAAATCTCGGAAAAAAGGTCCAAGCGGGAGCATTTCAATCGACAGTCCACCTCATACTTCCATGCGATTTCCGATCGACTAGACTTGTGAAGTACCATTTATTAATCTTCGCTGTAGAAGAGCTGCTAAGGAATAGTAAAATTGAGGCAAAATATATGATATTTGTTTGTTTAATTCTGATTTTATTGCCTCCGCTTCGTATGTTTTTTATACTGAGAGTTTGCCATGTACTCATTACTTTAAGATATCTCAGCATTCTAACTTAACATCTCTTTTATTGCTATTACTAAGAGCACTGATTTCCAGAGTACACCAAAGTTTTGATGTTTCTGTGGTGGTCATTAATAGTCACTAAGGATGCGTATCACATACCATGACGATAACTATTTAAAAAAATCATTTGAAGTCCTCAGCAGGTTTTTTTCTACATTTATTTGGGAGCTCAGCTGAGGGAGCCACAAATGTAACTTAAATCAGCTTCAGAGCCAACGCAGAGCCTTAGTATGCAACAATAGCGCAGCCTCAGAGTTGAGAAGCCGCAGATCACACTGGATTGCTGTGCACCAAACCAATTTCTCGTCTTATAAAATATTTCCCCATCGTGGCCTTTCTTCCTCACTTATCCCGGCTCGCCACCTTCCTGTAGCCAATGACTTGAAGGCCATGTCCGAAAAATTCTAATTAGGTTAAGAGACGAGGTAGGTGTGGAAGTTGAGGCATGATTGACTTGTATTTTGAGAAGTTAGACCATGGTTGGCATGAGATTTGTGAAGTTACGACATGATGGGCTTATATTTGGTAAACTGAGGCAGGTTTGGCCAGTTGCTGTATGTTTACGCCAGTTGCTGTATGTTTGTATAGGTTACGACGTACGCAAGCGTGCTTGCCCTCGGAAATGAATATGAAGTTGGGCATTGCAGGACTTTTCTGGAACGGAAAACTCTCTTGTATTATGAAAAAAACAATATTTATTGTCAACACTCTGTCTTCGGATATTTTAACCTTTGTCAGTGCAATTCATATCTAGTGATCTGGTTATGAGATTTACCGTCAGAAGACAAAATGATAATTTGTAGGAATCAATGCAGATGGAAGAATCCTTTCACAGAATAATGTGTATGCTAGCGCAAAACTGACATTTTTAGTGACCCAATTGACTTGTCTCCTCAGTGCCAAGAGTTTTCGTTCTGCAGCTGTTGTGTCCAAGGCTTAATTTCATGTCACGCCTCATGTCCGCTCCGATCTCTTAAAGGCCAATGTGAACTACATCTCTATGTAGGAATAGTTTTCACATAAATCATATTAATTGTCTCCGAGATAAGGTTAATATGTTTAAAGATCGCATGCGGAGTGTAACACATTTTTGTGATAAATATTGGTCACATCATATCGTAGTAACCGAAACGAAAGATTCCGAGTTTGAGAGTAAGTTGTTGAATTCTTTCCCTGGGTGATACGGTATTGGATCGGTACTATAGCTGAAACCGGAGAAACTGGCTAGACTGGAAATCGCATCATAAGCACAAATGATCATCGAGCTGTAAATAGTGTTGCGTTTCATACCCTTTTTGGTAATGGCCTGTTTCTGCTCTTCTGAACGCTGCTCTCAATTTTCATTATTTGGTCTGAGAGCTTGTTTAAAAATGAATCTCGAGCCGTACTCCTACTGAGACACGTCACCTACTAGTTGGCAGGTGACGTGTGCCAGATTTGTTAGCTAGGGACAGTGTACCAGTTAAGTTCATAGGTAACTGTGCCAGATTAGTTAGGAGGGGGCGGTGTGCCAGATTAGTTAGTAGGGGACGATTTGCCAGATTACAGTTGTAGGTAACGGTGTGCCAGATTAGTTAGGGGACAGTGTGCCAGATCATGTAGCTTACAAATTCATGCCATGCATCGGGATCGATCTTATAAAGCGGGGCATCTCGAGTGTGTTCCTTGCATACAGTATTATGACGGTTGATTACCGTATTTTCCCCTATAGCATGACGGCCGTTTACCTTTATTCCCCTATTTCACGACGCTTGGTACCGTAAATCCGTAATTTCCATTTATCATGACGGTTGATTTCCGCATTTTCCTCATTACTGTTGACTTACGTGTGAAACTAGACCATTTTATAATTTAATTCGATTAATTCAGCTTAAGTTATTAATAAATAATCTTGGTGAATCATATTGAAAATAAATTCTTAAACGAAGTAAAAAAGTTTGCAGTGAGATGTTGTTCGATAAAACTGTAAGTTTCAACAAACAGATGAACCCGCTGTCAGAAATATTTTAGACCAAGGCTACTGTGTATTTTTTTACAGCTTTGCCTTTCTTCCAAAGCCAAAACCTTCACACAAAATTATCGGAGGCTGCACTTGCATGAGAGGTTCACGTTTTCAGTTCGGCTTTCTTGTTACGTCACGTAGATCGAGAAACATAAGCAAACCTGTCATTCCCATGACGGATTGGTTGGCAGGTTTGGTTGCATTTCGGTGATTGGTTAATGCCAGTGACGTCACTGAGATCGGTGACGTCTTAGGCGAACAACAAACTACATCCGCAAAAATGGCTTCTGATGGGTCAATCTTATACTACACTCTCCCGCTTCACTAACGTTCCCACTAACGGCCTATTGGCGGGAGATGCCGAGGCGCTCGTCATCTTCATGGGAACCGTGAAATTATTTTCTGCGTAAGATTCATCATTGACACTACGTAATTGCACCCAGTAATTCAGTGCGTGAATTATTAATTTTTTTTAACTCAATAAGATACATTTTACACTAGATGGATGAGCAAAGGTACGCAAATTAAGTAGGTATATAATGAGTAATGAAAAAAGGTTGCAATGAACTTCGCAATAATAATGCGAATTTTTAATCGTTCTATATTATGTATTCGTTACTTAGAATCATCATCAGAAGACAGACTGGAACCAACAGCGAACTCAGTGTGTACTTGGAAAATCGGAAAAACTAAGCCCATTTTCAACTAAAGCTTGTCGACACTGACGGAGATCTTTGAGAGCTGAGAACTTGTGGCGTCAGTTCTGTTGTATGATGAGCTTGAAATGTGACAGCAGCAGTATTGTCTGGGAGCACTCGTGTTGCAGCTATAGTAGAACTGTGCTACACACAGCAGCTGTATTGTGTGGGATCATTCGTGTTGTAGCTATAACATAATTGTACTGCATATAGAATTGCTCTACACAAAGCAGCTATAACGAAATTGTTCTAGAAACGACAGTTTTATTGTGTGGGAACACGTTGTGTAGCATTTATTTATATTAAGACTTTGAACCATGGTGGCATGAGCAACATGCAAAACTCTACTTATCAGCCGTAGCAGTACTACATACGGCTATTGGACTGTACCTATCAGTCGCAGCAGTACTACATGCGGCTATTGGCCTGTACTTATCAGCCGCANCTACATGCGGCTATTGGGCTGTACTCATCAGCCGTAGCAGTACTACATGCGGCTATTGGCCTGTACTCATCAGCCGTAGCAGTACTACATGCGGCTATTGGGCTGTACTCATCAGCCGTAGCAGTACTACATGCAGCTATTGGCCTGTACTCATCAGCCGTAGCAGTACTACAGGCGGCTACGTCTCTATGCACTGTAGCTGAATATCAGTTACAAACGAGTCTATTGGGTTGCGAACAACAGATGTAGCAGTTTTACCAGTTATAATTAGTTAAATGCGTTGAATATACGGTACTAGTAAAATGCTCGCATATTATGCGTGGGAAGTACATTTTCGTACAATGTGTGTCGACAATGATCGTTCAATACGAGAAAATAATGATCGTATAGCACTCGAGGTCATTGTCCGCTATACTGACTTGCTATTTCATTCACTGTTCAGATGCTGCACCACATATGCAATTACGATCTGATTTGCGAGCTCAGGCATACCCCAACACTCGCTTTATTTATCATTTCTGGAATTTATTATGTGTTTGGAATGTTTTTTTAAGTGAGTGCGTGGATTAGCTTATATGTGCTCGAAAGCTTCACGATTCATTAGTTCGGTGATCTATCGTTCAAAGAATCGGCA